TAATACGGAACAGACAATCCCCCGTGTATTTTTTTCTAACATATCGACAGAAAACCATTGTGATTCTTGTACAAGATGGCCGTGACTCTGGGGAGCGATCTTAGAGATTCGCCGATCCATACAGAACAGCGGGAACTATCTGTATCAGGAAATATTGTCAGTATACCCTGTGGAGTCCACAGGTTGAGAATATTATATATGTTGGGAACTTTTTCCTTTTATTACGAAAGATATATTGACTTAAAAAAAAAAAACAATAAATATATATTTTTGTAGAATATATTTCTATAGAGCTTTTAATGTGTTTTTTTGTTTTTAAAGTCAAGACTTTAAATGGCAAACAAGCTGACGGTCCACCTGATGGAAAATGGTAACCGTTGCCTATAGACATGAGCAGTGGAATGAAAAAAAATAAACAATTATATTTTACTTGTAATTGAATATCTTTCAATTGTTATAGATGAAATAACATTAAAATTATTTACACATTACCAGAGGGAGACTTTGTACAAAAGTCGATTGCTTGGATAACTCTGTCCCATTCGTGTTTCTACCGTGAAGCAGTTGTGTTTGCATGGCTGTGTTTCGGTTTGAAGGATGGGATATGGCGTGAATTTACAGGGTACAGAGGAATAACACCTGAGTCCTCAGGAATGGCAACGCATGGAGGGTATCATGAACGAAACAGTATACTCTGTTATGTCCATGGTACTGCTCATGTCTATAGGCGACGGTTACCACTTTCCATCAGGTGGGCCGTCAGCTTGTTTGTCATTCTAAGTTGTATAAAAACAAAACATTAGCTAGATAAGTTAACGAGAACCGTCTTCTTTTTAAAGTCGGTTCACAAGATAAAGTCTCAGAAATACTGAAAAAAAAAATGAATTCTCTGAAGTCGTAAATTTAATTTTGATTATTAAATTACAAGTAACTAGGTATGAGTACTCATAAATTACTAGTACAAAAGATGTTGTACAATATTTGTATAATGAACTACGCTATCTTCGCAAGTACGAATTGAAATTCCTCAGATATAAGTTTCATATAAATTAGCTACCTCCATTCCGTTTCTTCTGTATTCATTTCTCGCGATGCAATTTAATTTTGAAGTACGCTCTGGTTGCAATTTTATTCAGACTCGGTGCAATTTTGTGCAGTGTTTCTGGAGGCGATATGAGTAGATCTCTTTTGCTGCGAGCTCGTGATAAGACGTTTCATTTATATATTCTTTATTGCGCTTGTAAATTACAAAGAGAAGGCAGCGGGAGTCTTTGTACAATAGCATAAAAAAATTAAATTAAGTGAAAGCACCTTGAGAAGATCGCAGTCACTAAATAGATCTTTGTTAACAATCGTCAAAACCACAACCGTTATATCGAGAATACGACATGATTGAAGACACATTTAAAGGAGAAAGAAATTAATATGCATCATTATAATTAAAAAAAAAATGTCCAATACTCCAAGACTATGTTACAAAACAAGGAAAATAGATTGACAAAAAGCAAGCACGCTTTATCACGTAAAAGTTTTCTTCCTGCAAACTTTCACGTGATAAAGTGAATCGATAAAAGAAAGTAATAATAATAATACGTTATTTACATACCCCTACTTTGAACGTGTGGATTTCAGAAGCTGGAAAAGTAATGAATAAGATCGCTTCTAGATGGTATTTTAAGACAAAACCTACACCAGACTTTAGGTTAAACTTTCAAGAATACGACTATGTAAACCATAACCAATTTCGTATAATAGTATTTACATAATACTGGAATAAATATACAAACAGACAGACAGATAAAATTTCAAAAAGACGTTGTTTATCAAAGCATCTATTGATCCTATTAAGACTCTTATATTTATTTTTAAACATCGCTCATGTACAAACGACATCAAGGTACGATATTTTATTTACAATCAATTCAGAATTGGCGGCAAAAAAAAACAGAAGAATTGAAAACCTTTTTTTACAAGTCACTTAAAAATATTCGATAGCAACTCTTCCCCTGTATCAAAAAGGAAAAATCATCTTTGATACTTTGATAGCCACTAAATACCCTGTAATAAAGCGAAGTGATTTCCGTGACAGAGGCTTAGGGATAGGTATTATAAGGCTTATTGGTTGATAATTTTATTTCGGGACTCGAGCCATCTGAGAAATTTAAGCTTAGCTTTATTAATCTAAAATTTAAATTTTGACTTCGAACTGGCTTTCTATCTAATAACTAATTAAAAAGGATCAGATATAGAAAGAGATTAAACGGGATTGTATTTAGAATATAGTCTAAAGTTGTTTCTAATTTTAATACCGTATTTAAAATAAATGTTTCAGTCTAATTAGGTAGGTTTAAATTAAGTGATTGCCATATGGTAGCGGTACTGAATGGGCCACTCCTTGCTTTCCTGTAGGTGTCGTAAGAGGGGACTAATAGAACTTAGTGATCGAGGAGTCGCCAACAACTTCCCTGTTTTAACGTTACCAAAGCCTAACTGTGATTGCTAACCCGCCTACCACAATATGCCCTATTAGGTCGACCTCCACGTGGTTCCCCCTGGAAACTATCGTGAACAATTCTTGTTGAATTCATCACGATGGGCTAACTGACCTGCTTCATCCTCACCTATCATCCTTCACTGGTGCCGCGCTGGTGTATACCGATAACGCGGGTGGGGTTACCATTCCATTATCACCCATTAAAAAAAAACTCGCCTGCCAAGCGTGGCTACGACTATTAGCAACATCAAATGTAAATTAAAACAATACTTCTTGCATGATATTTAATACAAATTAAATAGTTTTAATGTATTTATAAATGGTTTCTGAATGCTAATGTAACATAATTTCTGTAACTCTGTATTTTGTGATAAAAAAATAAATAAAAAAAATCTACTAGCAAAATCTCCAATAGTAAAAGGCTACTGTTCAGCAATCTATTTATTTATTTAAGGAACACCAACAGCATATTGCATTATAACATATAGGTATAACAAACATTAAATATAATACAATATTAATGCACGTGCCTACTATAGGTATTCACAGCATTCACTTTAACATAGTTATACAGCGCAAGAAAATTAAGTAAATAATAAAAATAAACATGTAACCTAAGTTGTGAGCAATATCAGTAAATAGTAGCAGTAGTCAATTAACGGCTATTATTGATGATGATTCTTTTATACTACAAAGGTGTCAACCAAGCATACAGCCAGTCTGAAGGTAAACGGTCACTGTAGCCTACGGACGCCTACAACGCGAGGGGTGTCACGTGCGCGTTACCGTCCTTAATACAAGTACCCTTTTTGAAGAGCCCCATACTGTTGTCTCTAGGGAAAACCTTGACAGGGAGGTCATTCTACAACCTGAGCGTTAGTGGGAGAAAATTTCTCTGAAACCGCATTGTACTCATACGTGACCATTCTAGCTCTAGCGTGTGAGATAAATTCCCAGTCGATGGCGAGCGGATAATATTAAGTGAAAGAATTCTAGATTTTTTCGACTCTCCCAATTTTTTGTTTCGTGTAAGCGTGATAAAAAATAATATTTGGTTAGTAACTAAGTAAGTATTATGTTTCAATCTTGTCATGATTGAAGCAACAAACTGAAGTAAAAAACAAAAACAATACACCTAATATGATGTCGGGTATATACCTAACATTTGCATTATATTTTATTCTTTTTATATATTCTCTCTTTGTTTTTGAAATAGCGTTTAAATAATTATAATTTTAATAATACTTTGAATCATTTGGATACCTAAAAAAAAAACATAAAAAATAAACAAATTTAACCAGATTAAGTAGACAAAGTAGGTTAAATCTTGTTATTATTATAAACGTATATCGTACAATAGCGCTGACATATATAAAGAAATTTTTTAAAATAAAAAAGAAATATTCTGATTTGAAATTGAGTCAAAATCTATGGTGGGTAGACTAATTGACTCCATGAATGATAAAATTCAAATAAAGAAACGTAAGAATTTTTTGAAATTTATATCTTATCCCGTCCCGGCTTTGCACGAGTGGACATTTTTATAACATTTTAAGTGATTATTGTGACATAACGATAATAGTTGGACATATAGTAACGGGAAGTTTTATATAGTTATTGATATTTTCTTCAATATTGTAGAACATACTTTTGTTCTATCACCAATAGTTTCCGCAGCGCACGCGACGAAAGATATTTTATAGCATTTTTTACACCATGAGTTACGTTACTGAAGTTTAAGTAAGGATCCCTAATCTTTTCTAGAAATAAATATAGCCTATGTTACTCAGGGTGAATGTAGCTTTCTAATGGTGAAAGAATTTTTGAAAACGGCAAAGTAAGTAGTTTTTGAGTTTATTCATTACAAACATACACAAAAAATACAAATCTTTCATCTTTATAATATTAGTGTAGATATTCAAGTACAATATTCAAGTTATTTGATGAAGTTGGAGAATTTGAGGATTTAATTCTTATACTATTATTACTCCTCTCATCATCATCATATCAGCCTTTGACTGTCCACTGCTGAACATTGACCTCCTCCTGGGGGGGTTTTGACAGTAGTTACCAGGCTTGGCAGAGTTTGAGAACTGCAGTTAGGCTTTGGAAATGTTTTAGGAGGGATGCTGCTGCCCATCCCTCACCTCCTCTTAATTGCTCCTTACGATACCCATGGGAAAAAAAAAGGAATGGCCTATTCTATGCTGAAACCACAGAGGAAATTATTTCCTTTACTGTTATAAATTATTACACTATTATTTATTTATTTAATGTTTATAATATAATAAAACTTGACGTCGAAAATACATTTAGAAATAATATTTTAATCAAAGAAATATTCCAGAGATTATATTAAAATATTACGTTTCATAAGTCACGTTGTCTAAATATTCTACGAGCTTTGAAGTTAACCTTCGTCTTTATTTGAGGGACAAGTCAGTTTATTTCGAGTTTATCTCTGCACTGTGACCTTTTTATAACAATATTTCGTGTGTTGTTACAGATTTGCCCCGGTTTGTGGGTCCGGGCTCGAACGTTACCGTTGCCTTAGGCAGGGATGCGGCGATCACATGTCGAGTCGACAATTTACAGACTTTTAAGGTAATTCTCATATACTATATATATATATATATATATATATATATATTAATTAAATACTAAAATTCAAAATCAACAACTAATAAATCGTATAACGCATTGAAAATGTAAATCTAGAACCTTTTCTATTAAAGTTGGTTAAAAATAGATAAATTAACTTAATTGTTAACAAAACCCTTTCAAATCCATTAAACCTTTAACCCACTATGAATCTAAAATTCAGACCGATCTAGTTAGATGGAAGTGGAGTTTTAGACTAGCGGCTAGTGAATAATTAGTTAAATAAGTTTCAGCTATCTAGCTCTGTTGACATATCGGCAAATTAGTTTCATGAAGTTTCATGAAGTTTCTCATGTGACTGTCTCTTGTTTGTTTTATAAATAGGTATTCTTAGTTCTACTCCAGTTTGGGCATGTGTAAAGAATGTCTGATGAAAAATTGATGGAACGTGTATACAATACAAAAATGAAACAATACAGACGTCTAGGTAGTTCTAGAATAACATATATAACAGTAATCAGATCAATGCTATCTGATAGACGAGTCAAAACTCTCAAGTACCTGCATATATCCACGAGACAAGATATGAAAATGGATTAGGGACTAGGTGTGTGTAGGAACAAAAGGTTATGGTTTTTTTTATCCAACTTAGAATGGCAAACAAGCTGACGGTCCACCTGATGAAAAGTGGTAATCGTCGCCTACAGACATGAGCAGTACCATGGACATAACAGAGTATACTGTTTCGCCCATGATACCCCCCATGCGTTGCCATTCCTGAGGACTCAGGTGTTATTCCTCTGTACCCAGTAAATTCACGCCATATCCCACCCTTCAAACCGAAACACAGCCATGCATACACAAATGCTTCACGGTTGAAACACGAATGGGGCAGAGGTACCCAAGCAATCGACTTTTGTACAAAGTCGATTGCTGTTCAATTCTCTTCGCATTTCTCATGCCACGTGGTACAAATTGGTTATTATAATGAGTAAACACATAAGAACAGAGAGAGAAACATCCACTTTTGACGACAGTTAAAATCACATATTGTTATTTATTTTTATTTAATATGAATAAAATGTAATAACACATATGAGCTATTCATCTTCAAAAAATTCATTTAACCTATAGTACGTTTTATTTATTGGGTATTTTGTTTTAACAAATTTACAAATTTGTTTATGACTTTCTAAGTTTTTTTATTTCATTAGGTATTTTGTTATATATTTGGATTGTCATTAATTTGGCACCAGATTTTACTAGTGTTGTTTTGTATGGATACTTAATTTTATTTTTATATCTATTGTTCAAAATTAACCTTTTTATATACATTGACAATTGTATTTTTTTATAAAAAAGAAAATTTATAAACAATTGAAATAGAAAAAAATATACATACAATATGTATTGTACATCAAGTCAACAGACGGCAATTTTATTTACAATTAATATAATATAAATAATAAATAATACCTATATACAACAAGAACCAGCATATTTTACAAACATCTATTATTTAGTTTTTTTTTTTTTACATTTTACACAATAATTTGTATGCAAGTTTTATGTAGGAGGATGCAGGTATTGTAAGTACTCTACAGCAATCTGAAATGATCAGATAAAATATGTGTTTTTATGACTCAAAATATCAGTTGTGTGTAAAATTCATACAAAATTTACACACAACTGATTTTATAGTTCATCACAAGTGATAGAGATAGAAAATGAAGTATTTACTTTTTGTAGACATAATAGAATCAGAAATCACAAAAGTCACAAGTCAAAATCAAGTAAAATAATAAAAAATTTGGCTGGGATTCGATTCACTGGTATGAAACTCTTGGGAGTCAAACATTGTAATGATTAGACTGTTTCGAGGTAGTCGAAATGAACCACTAAAATAAATAAACTTTCAACTACCTGCTTCAACCTTTCCTGGATCTCATTATAATTCATAACAAATCAATACTTGTACTGTAACTATTGAATATTAATATAATTTTGGCGATTTCTATAAATCCAGCCTAAATTTAAATAAAAATAAAAATATTTTATTCGATTAAAAACCTATCGAAGTGATAATAGTAGTCCGAATTTATTATTAGATATCTCATTGATACATATAAATAATAATAAAAAATGGCACTGAAAACTGATTTTTTTTGTCTTTTTTCTTATCTTTTTTCAAACATACCACTATCTAGTATAGTATTATATTATCTGTGCCACTATTAAAATTATATGAATAGTTTTTTTAATTCTATGGTGAGAATGAAGAAGCGAAAGAGGTTTGACTCGTTCCATTGTTTCTGCCTACCCTAATGGAAGACAGGCGTGACAGATATGTATGTATGTATTATATTATCTGTGCCACTATTAAAATTATATGTAGTTTTTTTAATTCTATGGTGAGGATTTGACTCCACTCTTACTCTGTTTCGTTGAGTTTTAAGTGTAATTGCATAAAATTATCTCATATGTATCCAATTCTGTTCAAATCTGTTCTGTGTTAAGCCTATTCGAGTTACAAATGTTATTACAAACTTTTCCTTTTGTGATGTTAGTGAAATCATTATTCAATAAATAAAGTTAGTAAGTATATACTTCAGATATTTTTGAGCAATAACAACAAACAAAAGAATTCAATAAATTTGTAATAAAATGTAAAGAGTAAAATATACAGACACACAAACGCGCACGCATGCACGCACTCATGCACACACACACGCAGGCACATACGCACGCATGCAATAACACACGCATGGACGCACGCACGCAAGCACAAACTCACACACACTACTTCGCACGAGTATACAGATTTTCGAAAGTCAATACACATAATAAAGGAAGTTTCATCTAATTTAACTGATCGGTTATTTTATAGCATCTTATACGTGATTATTTAGATTGATATAACTTTCTTATTTATGAACTTATTGAAATAAAACAAACAATTAATGTTAATTGGAGGAAATCGCAATGCATTAGTGGAAACGGTATTCAAATTGGTTAAGCCATTTCTGAGATTAGCATGCACAAACGTACAAATAAACAGACATACAGCCAACGGACATACAGTAATACAGACATAGAGACAAACAGACAGACAAAAATTCTAAAAATCATTATTTTCGGTTCTAATGCATTCATAAAGCCCCTCTATAATAGTTTTTTTCTTATATATTTTCCATGTACAGACAGCGACCAGTTACGATTTTATTACATGTATCGATTGTAGGAGCCAATATAATTTGCTCGATAAATCGAGCCTCGACTCAGTAATTTAATACAAACACAGCGTCCGTTAACATTTGCGACAACTTAGCTGCCGCTGACTAAGTCTGGCTAATTAATTTTATCGACACTGTAATAGAGCCTATCAATATCCATATTGATGTTGGTCACTTTAATCCATTTTTCAATAAACGACCGTCGTTCAAACGTAGTGGTGTCATATGCAATGTTGTTAAAATTAATACACTGCAAAATGATTCATATGCTGGCTAACATAAAAAAAAAAGTAGATTAGGTCATTGTTATTTATTGTCAATACTTATAATAAATCTGTACAGAGGTCAATTCTGTACATGGAATATAATTCCAAAGTAACTATCAGGGGGTGATTAGTCGATACTGATGCCAAAAATGCAATCAGTGAAATTTTTGTCTGTCTGTATGTATGTTCGTTATAGAAACAAAAACTACTCGACGGATTTTCACGAAACTTGGTACAATTATTATTCATACTCCTCGGCAGGTTATAGTATACTATTCATCACGCTACGATCAATAGGAGCAGAGCAGTAAAGATAAATGTGTCTATTACATCAAAACCACTGAACCGTGAGGAAGGACATGGGCTACTTATTTTACGAAAGATGAAGGAAACGCGAACGAAGTCACTGGCAACAGCTAGTTTATAATAATTAAATTGTTATAAATGTTATTTATAACAATTTAATTGAATAATTTAATGATTTATATTTGGTACAAATTGATATTGTTAAAATTTTGTGTAACTTAAACCTTTATTAAAGAATTTATTATTATTAATAATAATAATTTATTTAATACTAAACAATAACTACACTCATGATAAAAGTAATCTTGACGAATGATTTACTTTTATTTTAAAACAAACAGAATCTGTATATATATATATATATATATATATATATATATATATATATATATATATATATATATATATATATATATATATATATATATATATATATATATATATGTTATTTTTAAATTACTCTTTTAACTTAATATTGTTCAGCACTTTGCACCTTCAATAACATTTTCTCTTATTCCTGTCTACTGTTGACTGGTAGATAACGCCATATGGTGTTAAGTTCGCCATTTACACTTTCAATGTGTATTAAAGTTTCATAAATAAATAAATGTATTAGATATTTAATAGATATACCTATAAGATTCAAAACATTTTAAATTACGTTTTAGCAAGTAGATTTTATTTCGAAAGAAGCAGGATTATGCTCAGCACAGAAAAATGGTACAAAACAAATACGCGACCAACTCGAGAGGAAATTCATAAATACACAAATATACTTAGTCTATACGAGAATAAATCGATCCAAGATTTTTGTTTTTTTGGCCATTAAAGCATTTTTGTGTTGAACAAATTTTAGACATTTCTGAATGCTGCTGCTCTTTCTTAGAAGTTCGATTTAAAAGAACTCTTAAATCAATAGAACTGGGTTTATTAATTTCAATTTGAAACTTTTAGAATAAGCATTATGAATCAAAATTCTCACAAATATTTTCTTTACAATGTAAACAAATTCAGTTGCTTTCAATTAAGAGCAATCACAACAAGGAGAACGGCAAATTACTTTGTTTAATTGTGTTTCCTTGAAATTTATAATATGTATATATTATAGAGAGAGTTCAATTAGAGTATCCATTGGAGCGCCTATTGTATGTTTGGATTTAATTTGGTACCTAATATGATGTTACAGCAAATATTTAGCAAAATACATTTTATAATGTTGATACTTAATTATCATCTTGCCTCTTAAAATGTAAACCATCTGTAATATTGGAGAAATTACTTTTCCGAGAAATATCACATTTTAATGTTATTTTAACCTTATTAATTTATTTGGATTTCTAGAAGATTAAGATCGAGAAAATTCCAATAACATTTCATGAGTTTAAAATTAGTTCCACATGGGGATCGCTAAAAATTTGCTATACGTATATATATGTTTATGTTGCAATATTAAAAAATTGCTAATAATTCAAGTCAATTACTCGATTGATTTTTAAGTAAAATTTCTTGATTTCAAATTCCAGGGCAATATCTAATTTTTCAGAAAGACAAGAGAGTCAAAGTAAATGTAATATTTTGTAAATCTTAATCTACCTTCGATCAGGTGGCGTGGCTTCGAGTCGACACTCAGACAATCCTGACAATAGCGGGCCACGTTATCACGAAGAATCATCGCATCAGCGTGAGCCACGGCGACGGCGCGTGGACCCTGGGCCTGAGGGATGTGGGACCATCAGACGGTGGACGGTACATGTGCCAGGTCAACACTGAGCCGATGATGAGCCAAACGCACCAGCTGCAGGTTGTCGGTCAGCAGACGAATATATTCTTATTAACAAATCAACTAGTGCGCTAAGATCACATTCGTGTAAAATTAGTTAGTAAAGTTATCTTTCGAACATAGAACTTTTCAATTTCTCATATGGAAATCAAAATCCGTTTGTTACTTCACATTTACGAGCAAAGAATAATAATCATAAGATTATCTATCTCAGGAACGAACAGCAAATTGCTTAATTTAGATTAGACTGACCAAGTATTTTGCCTATTTTATTTATTTCTGTCGCAGAGTAACGAAGTCTTTGATATCTGCAATAAAACGTCGGTGTCCTCATCAATTGCAAAACCATGCATTTTGACATGATTATGCATATTGGTGTTATGAGTGATATAGTGTTCTTTATGATGTTCATTATGTGATACTGTACTCACAGTAGCGTAATTTATCTATTCAAATTACATTGACCTCCTTTATGTGTACTACTTATTACGATCTTATGCTAATTTCTTCTAATGTTTCTCCATTGTTATTTTTCTTGTATATTCTTTGCTTCTCTCTTTACCAATAATCCTTAGTCTATTAATCGTCTTTCACTATGGCCATTTAATATGCCACGTTAATATTAAGACTTGCTTCTCAAAATTGGCTACTGGAATTGTTAATTTTTCCTACACTTTCTCAAGAAACCTTTCAAGTTTAATTCAAGTTCTTTTCTTCAATTTTATATTCTTCACACAGTACCACCAGATATTGACGATGAGGTGAGCAGTAGTGAAGTATTAGTGAAAGAAGGTGAAAATGCTGCACTCAGATGTGTTGCATCTGGAACTCCACCACCAAACATAGCTTGGAGAAGAGAGGACTCCAGGCACTTCAAGATTGATAACCGGACTTTAGGTATGTATAATTTTTTACCTACTTTATTTACTTATATAAGCTTTGGTAAATTGAGGTAAACAGGTTCTTCTCGGGGAAAAGTTATGAATCTAGCTCTTCTCTTACATTTATATTGTTTTTTATTATGTCATAGGTTTAAGGTGATTAAGTACATTTTTATACTTTTACTAGCAGTATCCTTTTATGGTTTTTATCTGATTTTTATGTCTATTTCTTGTTTTATTGTAGATATTAGTTTCTTCTTTTTCTTTTTTTTTTTTTTCCTTATAACTTCAATGCAAAATAAAAAAAAAAAACAATTTGGTTCATGTAAAAAAAATTATGGAATATTACGAGTATGTTCGATTTAAAAAAATAAAACAATATTTTTATTTTTGTGTTTTATAATTATGAAATTCCATAAACAAAATTACACACAAATAAACTTTTAAATTAAAACAAAGCCCCGAAACGTTGTCACGGACGTATTCTGTAAACACCAGTTAAAACTGCGCTGAACAGAAATGGTCACAAACGGCTTGCACAATATACAGTGTACAATGCCAAACTTTTCTGAGACCACAAATTGAATATAAGCTCTCTTATTTGCATGAGGCTTAAATGAACTTAGTTTGGAAATTGCGTCGTATGTCGCTTTTGATTCCCACAATAACTATTGTTGTACTTTTAAAAGAAAACTGGCTATTTTTATATCTTATTTAATTTTTAATTCGCCTTTATTTTTATATATTTATATGTCTCGCGATATGTTCTAAGTCTATTTTAGGCATTATTTTATATAGTTATTTTAAAATAATTACTCGTCCATTTTAATTTTGACCTTCAATGTTGCTATATTTTGTGGATTAAAGTAAATTTGTACTTATCTTCGTGTTGTCAAATTTAAATTTGTTTACCCGTATTTAGATATTAAACAACAGTTCAAATCTAAATGTTCTTAGAAAATAATCTACAATAATATTAGTCAATATGAGAACAGGAGTTGCACTGAAGTGACCCTTTATTTAAAACTAAATTCAACTTTGCAAGTCATATTCGATCTCATGATTGTAATATATGAGTTAGTTGGGATCGCCTTTGTCGGATACGACAGAGGCTATTATCTGTTATATATCGGGATAGGCACGGAGAACTAAGGCCCTCTATCCCATATCTCCAACGTTATTCACTTACATAACTCCTATCATACATGCATAATGGTTCGAAGAGTTTTCTATAATACTAGTAATATTATCAAATATATGTTTGTTTGTAAAACGTATCTCCTGTAGAATACCAGAAACGTTGACAAGACATAAATCTCACACACTCGTAGATGGTAGACTTAAACCCATAAAGGGATCTTTTCCAGTCAACCTTTGATAAATAATGGAATCAATATCGAAGACAAGGGTGAATGCTGTACTACATACATACATACATATAAATCACTTGTTCCTATCAGTACAGAATGATATATCGTCATGGGGTACTTTTACAATTTACTGTTGCACGGAAGAATTTTATCGTCAAGATAAAATGGGAAAGTGTGGATCAAGTTATATGCAATTGAATGGAGAGAGGTCTTTAAATTTGCGTATACATTTTCATTTCTCAATAAAATTGTGATATTTTGTGCTGTATAGGTGTCCATTTTATATATAATTCTCTTGTTAGATAACGTTTTGAATAGAATAAGGTATGATTCAATTTCAATTGAATTTAAACCTATGCCACTTCTATTCATCACTTCCATTAAAGAGGAATTTAGAGATATTAAAAACAGAGATGGCCATAAGCCATTTATAAAAGTAGTTGAAGAAGGAGAAGTATTAATCTGATGTAAAGGTAATTGAAAATTATATATTGATACTCATTTTATGGAAGCCCTAAAGACTATGGTTATTAGTATAATATTAAAATGTCTGTGTTATGGTATAGGGTCCTTCAAAGAGGGCGTAATAATATTGGCAACACGTATACCATTCTTCTAATTGCAAATATCCATAAGCTACGGTAATTGTTTGCCAAACGGCCTGTATGCTTAGTGATATAAAAAGTTAAGTGTAATAGTTTAATAGTTACTTATTTTACAGTGTCTAAATGGACTGGTCCATGGTTGAATCTAACTGCTGTAGAGAGAACATCCTCAGGTGCATATTTGTGTATAGCAACGAATGGTGTACCACCATCAGTCAGCAAGAGGATTCAGATCAATGTAATGTGTAAGTATATACAACATATTTAATGATTTGCACGTGTATTTAGAAATATATTTTAATACTTTCTTCCACGCATGACCAGCAGTAGTATTTTCGAATCGATACAACATCGTAACTTTTTTTTTTATACAACTTAGAATGGCAAACAAGCTGACAGCCCACCTGGTTGAAAGTGGTAACCATCGCCTATAGACATGAGCAGCTTTTTAAAAGGCCGGGAGTATACTTGCAGTGCCTCTGGTGTTGTGAGTGATCATGGGCGACGGTAGTCACTTACCATCAAGTAAGCTGCATGCTCGTTTGCCTTCTGTATTAAAAAATTGAAACACATGATTTAAAACTAAAATATGTTGGAAATAATAAGCTCAGTTTTGATGAATAATAAAAATGTATGTATTATGTGAACTTTAGAAGAGAATAGCAAACTGTCATAAATTATTATATTGTTATATTTTTGTATTTTATATTTTGATTATAGAACATTAATAAAAACGACTATAGAGTTTTTACAACATATCCTCCCGTAATCAAAATATATATATAACAAAAATATTACTTAACAAAAAATACTGGTACAAAAATAACAAGACAAAAGGTTACCCAATGCCCATATTCGTCATACATCGTAAATGCTTAACATGACCTAAAGGTTTTGTCAAAACATCCGCTGGTAGTGAATCAGTGGGCATATACCTTAATTCTATAATTTTGTCATTTACTTTTTCTCTAATAAAATGAAACTTTACGTCTATATGTTTGGTTCTATTGTGATGGACTGGATTCAACGCAAGTTTCTGGGCACTCTGACTATCAGAAAAAATGACAACACTTAGAGTTTTACCTGTTATTTCTGCCACAAAACGTTTTAAGAAACAACCTTCCTTAGCAGCTGCTGATAGCGCCATGTATTCGGATTCCGCAGAGGACAATGCGACTGTAGGCTGTTTTCTTGATTCCCAAGAAATAGGGCCTTTTGCAAGTTCGAAGTAAAATCCTGTATATGAGCGACGACTAACAGGACAGTTTGCGAAGTCAGCATCTGAGTAACCACGCAGTATAGAGGAGTCTTCATTCTTTCTGTACGAAATACCAACATGCTTAGTTGCACTTAAATATCGAAGACATCGCTTAGCAGCATTCCAATGTGATTGATCATTGTTAGAGTTAAATTGGCTTAAGTAACTCACTGCGTAAGCTATATCAGGCCTTGTATTTACTGCCAAATACATAAGGCAGCCAATTAATGCCTGATAGGAACAGTTAGACTCACCTGTACTAGGTTCCAGTTTCTTTTGAGCAAGGGGTGTTGAAACCGATTTACAGTTTTCCATTTCAAACCTTTTTAACAAACTTTCAATATACGTACTTTGACATATTTTAATAATATTCTCTCGGCAAGATATATTTATGCCTATGAAATAATTAATAATACCAAGATCTTTAAGTGAAAAATAATTTTCCAACTCACATTTGAAGTTGTCAAATGTTACTTCATTTTTATACATAATTAAAAGATCATCAACATATATGGCTATAACCAAGGAGTCTGTATTCGAAATATTTTTAGTAAACACGCAAGGTTCTGATGGTGTTTGAGTGAATCCAATAGTTGACAAAGTTTGTTTTAACTTTATATTCCAAGCTCTCGGAGCTTGTTTCAAACCATATAAGGCCTTTTTCAATAAGCATACCTTATTTTCATCTTCCTTTCTCTGGACAAACCCTTCTGGCTGATCCATATAGACTTCTTCTTCCAAATCACCATATAAAAAGGCAGTATCTACATCCATATGACGTATTTTGTATCCTTCCTGTACTGCTAGTGCTAACAGCGTTCGCAACGATGAGGAGCGTACAACGGGAGAAAAAGTCGCATAATAGTCTACACCTTCTATTTGTGTAAAACCTTTAGCTACTAAACGAGCTTTATACTTGACTATATTTCCTTCAGCATCTCTTTTTAATTTGTAAACCCACTTAGATGGAATACAAGATTTAAAGCTTGGTTTTTCCACCAATACCCAAGTTTTCCTCTTTAATAAAGCATCATACTCATTATTCATCGCAGTGATCCAGTCATTTTTATCATCTCTTGTAATGGCATCATGATAAGTCAAAGGATCACCGCACAGCGGATCATCGCTTAGAGTATTATAAGAAAAATAGTTTGGAGGTTTACGTATTCTTTCAGGGTATCTTCTTCCATATCTATCGTCATTGGAGTTACTTGAAAGACCCGATGACGGAGATAAAGAATTAATTATGCGTACCTCTTCAGTACTAACAGAATTGTCAACTTGTTCCTCAATTGCTGTATCACCACCTCCGCCAATTGAAGGAGAAGATAATGAAGCTTCTTCTGAGGATGAGGTCTTTGAAAATAAGTAACTTGTATCACAGTTTACATCGTCTGCCTTTTCAATTGTTAGTCCTGTAAATTTATCTTCAAAAAAGGTTACATCTCTTGATTTTACTAACTTTCTAGGTGTTTTCGCACTTCGGAAGTAGTAACTTCTAGGATCATCTGAATATCCTATAAAAATATGTTCAGTTGCTTTTACATCTAGCTTAGTTCTTTGGCAAGAAGGAACATGAACTAAAGCTCTGCATCCGAAGACTTTAAGATGAGATAAGTTTGGTTTAAATCCGTACCATATCTCAAAAGGAGTTTTCTTATTAAGAGCACGATGTGGCGACCTATTTTTTAAATATACACTAGTCGCTACAGTATCTTGCCAATAAGCTTTCGCAAGTGAACAATGAGACAACATGCAACGGGCTTTCTCCATAATGCTACGATTGCATCGTTCACTCACTCCATTTTGCTGAGGGCTATAGGGCACCGTAGTTTGGTGCTTGATACCATTTGAAGCCAAATAATCAGCAAATTCATTGTTGACGTACTCAGATCCATTATCAGATCGCACTATTTTTATTTTTGAGCCAGTTTCACGTTCAACAAGAGATTTGAAAATAGAAAACTTTGATTTGACTTCTGTCTTAGAAGACATAAAATAAATAAATATAAACCTGGTAAAATCATCTATAAAAGTAATAAAGTATTTATTACCTTGAAAAGAGGTTGTTTGAAATGGTCCACATAAATCTGTGTGAATTAATTCTAGAACTGACGTAGCTTTCTTACTTTTCAACCGTTTAAAAGGTTTTCTTGCTTGCTTACCCTCCACGCATGGTATGCATGGTTCCTTGTCAACCTCCTTGTACTCCACTCCAACTGCTAGACCTTTTCTAAGTAGATCCATACCTATGCGACAGAGATGTCCTAATCTCTTATGCCAAATTTTAAAGTTTGAGAGTTCAGAGTGCACATTATAGGCTGAAACATTTTGTGGCAAGTTAATCGAACAATCTAAATTATACATTCCACCACTAAAAGAACCGTGCAAAATAGGGTTATTAGCAAAAGATACATCACAAGATTTATAAAAGTTACAACCATTTTTATCAAAAACAACAGAAAAATCTTTTTCGACAACTTTCTTTACGGAAAGTAAATTACATTTTAAACTAGGAACATAAATAACATTACTTATTTTTGATACTACAGAGTTGGTATTAATTGATACCTCACCAATACCCACAGCTGGCAATTTTTGTCCGTTTGCTACAGTTATGCTTCCACTATCTATAGAACGATAATTTTTTAGCCATTCACCGTGTGAAGTCATATGTCCCGATGCTCCAGAGTCGATTATCCATTTATCGGAGTTCTGGTTATTTAGGGATGACATAGCCACTTCAGACAAGCAATCTGTTGTATCTTCTACGTTTTGTTCAATTTTCGACATATTTACCTTTTTTACCTTTTTAATAGGGCAATTAGGGCTCTTATGTCCAGGTTTTCTACATTTAAAACATATAATAGGTTTCTTCGTCTTCGCTTTTAATTGTGAAGTACGAAACGCTGCAACATCATCATTTTGAGCCATCTTTGACATTTCACTCAATAACTTCGTCTTAACCATTTCTGATGTTACTTCGAGGTTTGAATGTTCTAGAGCCATTACCAGTGGATCATAACGAGATGTTAGTCCACCTAATAAAATCGCAGCAAGAGAGCTATCTTCAATTGTTTTGCCAATATCTGCCAAATTCTGGGCAGTTGTCATGACTGCATTAATGTACGACTCAATATCGGTAAAATCTGATAGGGAGTACCTGTACAGCTGTCGCTCCAATGACAACTTCCGACCAAGACTTTGGTCTTCATATGCCTTTTGTAATGCATACCATGCCTCTTTCGCTGACGTTGCTGTCCTCACATGCGTCATTGCCGCACCATCCACAGAAAGACAAATTTTTGACAATGCTTTCTGGTCATTACGTGCTTTTACATGGGAAGGTGTATCGTCAGACGATTCATAACCATCTATTGTATTCCACAACTCTTCGTGCACCAACAGCATTCTCATTTTGAATTTCCATGCTGTATAATCTTCACGTTTCACCAACATTTTTATACAATTCAAATTCATCCCAGCCATTATGAATGAGTAGAATTATCTTTTAAATAAATTCCTTACCTCGTGCTGATAACGAATGTTGGAAATAATAAGCTCAGTTTTGATGAATAATAAAAATGTATGTATTATGTGAACTTTAGAAGAGAATAGCAAACTGTCATAAATTATTATATTGTTATATTTTTGTATTTTATATTTTGATTATAGAACATTAATAAAAACGACTATAGAGTTTTTACAACAAAATATTAATATTAAAATACGAAAGTTTGTAACGACGGATGGGTGGATAGATGTTTGTTAGTCTTTCATGCAAAAACTACTAAACAGATTTCTACTAAACGAACCACTAAACGTTTTGAACTGTTTGTACCATTAAGATCGTCATACAAATTATTATTCTTCTTGAAAAGTTCTTGTATGTTTATAATACTAGCTATGTCCCACAACTTTTCCCACGTAAACCAATAGAAGTGAATTTACAGGGTACAGAGGAATAACACCTGAGTCCTCAGGAATGGCAACGCATGGGGGGTATCATGGGCGAAACAGTATACTCTGTTATGTCCAAGGTACTACTCATGTCTATAGATGACGGTTACCACTTTACATCAGGTGGACCGTCAGCTTGTTTGCCATTCTAAGTTGTATAAAAAAAATTACTTATGAATGTTGTGTTGGTTGATAAACTTTAACCGCTCGTATCTAATAACAAAACCTTTTAAAGGCATTTGATTAAAGCAAGATTATTCGTTTATTCCTCATTTTATCGCGAGAATTTTATGTCACGTAAAAAGCAATATTATGGTCATAAAATAAAAAAAAAATCACAACAAAAATTCCGTTGATTTTTTTATGGAAAAAAGTTTTACATAAAATTGCATTCATTCCAGTATAACTGTTTCAACAAAGAAAATCAAGGATATTAAAAGTAATAATTTAATATTAAATCTTATTACATATATATTTTATTTTAAAAGATGGCCAATATGTGTTAATTGAGCAACTTGGCTCTTAAGCATAAAATGCATCGCCAATGCTTCAGTTGCCAAATAGGTCAATGATGTTAAGTGTAACCGAAGAAGCAATATTACAACACAGCTATGAATATTTGATAGTCATGTATTTGACACATTTATATGAAGTTAATAGTTAAAAGTTATTTCAATATAATTGAAATACATCGCTTCATGAAATCGCTTCTTGAACTTACTCAAAAATAAAGAACTTAAAGCGTTCTCTTTTTGAATCTCTAAATATAATTAAAGTTTAAAAAAAAAAGTATGTTTATTTAATGATTCCTAAGTGATAAGGCTGCCCATTTTTGGCTCTTTAACAGTTACATAAAAACCAACAAGGTGTACATATTTTTATGTAGATAACTGTATCTTTCTTTGATAGTAACAATAAAAAGATTTTATTTTTACCAGAGGGAGACTTTATACAAAAGTCGTTTGCTTGGGCACCCCTGTCCTATTCGTGTTTCTACCGTAAAGCAGTTGTGTTTGCATGGCTGTGTTTCGGTTTGAAGAGTGGGATATGGCAGTGAATTTATAGGGTACAGATGAACAATAACTGAGTCCTCAGGAATGGCAACGCATGGAGGTTATTATGGGCGAATGGTACTGCTCATGTTGGCTTGTTTGTTTCAAGTTATATAAAAAAAATATTTCCTATATTTTTACAATATTAGTAAGGATTCATATTTATATTAATGATTTTCTGTTCAATTCTGACAGTCGCCCCATCAGTGTGGACTGGACGGGTTGCTATCCGCGCCCCGGTCGGCGGCGCTGTATCGCTCCAGTGCACCGCTGAAGCATATCCTGTACCACAAGTCCACTGGACGTTAAATGGTGAACGTAGACTTGTTAATGGTAAGTTTTATGGTGATGTTTATGATGTAATAATAAAATAAAAATAAATTAAAATCATAATAAGTTACTCTCATGTAGTTATACTATAGTTACATGTTGAGCTGAGATTAGAGATTATTATTTATTTATAATTATAGAGAAACGTAAAAGAACATCGCAACATGGGAGTTTTAAATACTTATTAAAATTAAAAAAAGCTTGTATGAAATGATTTTTTTATTATTAAATTCTTGATTTTAATAATAAAAGAACAATTACTGAATATCGTTTTTTTTTTGTATTCCTTATACAAAAAAAAAATTGTTTAACTTAGACAACGTTCTGATAGGTACAAATCACATAACAATTTCATAGTTCGCTTCAGAAAAACTAATATATAATTTTACGCTACTTATCTGTTATGTACACATTTTCCTTATGCAACTAAATTACTTTACAAAAAGAATTCACTTATGCTAAAGTTGTTTTTTACTTATTTCATTTTCACATTTAGAAACGAAGCACCGAATCAGTATGTCAAGTCGAGGGTACCGGCACACAGTGACTCTGTTAGTGTCAGACATGTCACGGGAGGATGCGGGAGCTTACAGGTGTCAGGTGGAGAATTCCCTCGGGAGAGCGCAGGCGGAGTTGTTTTTACACAGTAAGTTATTTACAACAACAAGTGAAAACCAACAAAAAGAGAATAGACGGATCGTTTCATGATAATTTTTTTATATTCGTGAGTGTATTTGTATATGTATTTACAAAATCTAATTGTGTATAGACATTTATTACCTTTGTATTTATTAGTGTATTTGTATATGTATGTACAAAATCTAATTGTGTATAGACATGTATTACCTTTGTATTTATTAGTGTATTTGTATAAGTTTGTATTTACAAAATCTAAGTATGTATAGACGCATGCTATTTCTGAATTTTCAAATTCATCTTTACACCGTTTTGTTAAGCCACGTCAAAATTATTAGTGTACAATGATAGCAACATAGAAACTCTGGTCACTAGAGGACAATACCATCATACAAGCAGTAGTGATAGTATGCTTATTAATTTTCTAGCAAGTTCGGCCTAGTTTGGGCTTATAGTTTATTACTTTTTTTGGATTTTATTCTACGTTTATATTGTATAAAAAAAAAGTAACAATGAAAATACAATATTCATATGCGGTCAAAGGATAACCCTGAAGGGATTTCTTCCAGTAAATCTTTGTAATTATTTATTATTTCTACGAGTACTTATTTTTGAAGCCAGATCACCATGCCAAACCAAATAAAATATGTGTATACTAGCTTACGAATAAGTGTATTTATTTTTTATAGAACCATACTAAAAAAAAGGACTTTAATGGATTTTATTTTAATGTTACCACATTCTATTTAACGTTAACAGTTTTTAAAACTTTTTTGTATTGCCATATTTACGTATCTAAATTACTTCAAATTACAAAGAAATATTAGTAATTAATTCAAAACATTGTATGAATTTACTACTGTTAATTACTGTAACCTCAAAATTTTACCAATTTTCCGTTTTGGAAAAATTATATAAATGTTTTTCTCTTTCCATTTAATTTTTTCCACTAACAAATTTTCCATTATGTTTTAAACGTATAATAGAATGAAAATTTTGTAAACCTTATAAAATTATCCTATTTGAAGAGTACTAGTTAAGTGTTACTATTGTCCATTCGTAATGTATGCTTTTATAATTGAAGTAATTTAATTTGTTGGCTCTATTTTCCAAGTTTAATGTTCCGTTTGGGTCATTTATTCTAATTAATGCGACAACTTTGAATTCGTTAAAGGGCACTAAACATTTACAGCTAGAAGTTCTGGAATTATGGATGTCATTACTAACATTTGGAATATTTCCAATTTGCTTATGTTGCTATTAATTGTAGCGAATTGTTCTAATTGTTCTCAATTTACATTTAAATTTGTAACTTAAAATATTTTAATTTTCTTTTCTCTAATTTTATACTTTAATATATATATATTCAATGGTCGAATGTTTGTAAGCGCATCACTTCGCAATGGTTTCATTTACCTGACTCTTTTCTTATTGTATTTGTACATCATAACAAGGTTTGTATATATATATCCATAAATATATGGAAAACTAAAAATTGAGTTAAAAAATTTCCATATAAAAAAATGAGTCAATGAGTGGAAAAGAAGATTGGCTTTTTCTTCAGTACTAAACCGGTACAAAGTCGGAGCAGGCAGCTACTAACACGGTCTTTTTAAATATAGAAGATTTTTAATGTTAACACCGAAAATTGTTTTCATTCTTTTATTTACTCACACTTGCCAATTAATCTTTTTGATATGTGTCAACCTTTTACAGAAAAGATTTTCAATAAGGTGTCTTTACTTTGTGATCATTGTTACTGTCTGTTATTTACTAAGACGAGATCATAAGACAAATATTTTTGGCGGTCATACATAAATTGTAAAAAAAAAATATATAATTCGTTACTATTAAAACATTTTTTTAAAGGCGCAGGTTACGTAATTGGTAATATAAGGTCACTTAATGCTAATAGTATATGTTAAGTAATAAGCATTGCTAAACTGTAATTTTTTTTTAAATAACTAAATGAATAATTTTACTTTTATATTGCCATTTTTTGTGAGTTTTTATACCGCGTTTCCGTAAAACATCCGTAGTGTATTTATACATAATAATACATATGTATAATACTTGTAGAATATTGACCATATTGTTTTATGTATGTTATTAGACATGTATGAAATATGATTTTTATTTTTTATATATCTCACAACATTATATTTTAATTTGTACACGTCATAGTTCCTATAATTTCTTGGCACAGGAAATGCGATACATATTTTGGCGAAAAAAGAAGGTTATACCCACTTCTTTGTATCATTAAGGTTTATAATTCCAAATTCAAATTCATTTGCAGTGCTGACCACCACTACCACGACCACAACAACAACTACAACAACGACGACGACCACTACAACAACAACACCACCGCCGACGACCACACATGCATGTAAGTAACATTATATCTGTACTGTAACTAAATATATATTTTACATTAATCTTTTATATTAATGAAGTATCTATATGTACGTCTTAAGTAATTTTTAATAAGATTGTGTTTAACAAAAAACAACAAATTAAAATGGCAAAACCTGTTATTTAGGTTTAAAAACTAAATTATTAAATCATGTATTTCAGATCAGAGCAATAACACAAGTGAAAGTAAAACAAAAGATAAATATTATTCTATTTAAAAAATAATAATAATATAAGAATATAAAATAAAGACTGCCAAATATTCTCATTGAAGGACTAACAGACTTTGATAAAATTTCCATGGGACTAATATGGAAGTATATACTCTTGTATATATAAGTATATACTGGTGATCTGTATTTATTATAGGTATTCTTATACCTATCTCAGGCACCAGTCTCTCACAATTATATTTATAATTTGATTACTTTAATATAAGCATGTTTCATTGTATTTCACTGTAATGAATTGTGAAGAGAAAATAAATCTATTTATTATTATTATATACTCTTAGGTAAAAAAAAAATTTCCCAAATCGGACTATAACTCAGTTATGTGATAATAAACATAAAAAAATACAATCGAATCGAGTACCTCTTTCTTTTTGGAGTCACTTAAAAATATAACAATAAGACTTTGTAATTTAATGCTCTTTTAAAAATATCGTATCTGTATAGATACTGTAAACAAACAACTTTATACTAACATAAACGATTTTATTTAAAAAGGAATTGTCCTATCTCTTGTACAATAAAGCAATCGTGAAGCGAACAACAGATAAGCTTTGTTTAATCTCAATGTTTGTTCGCAGACGATCCTGAAAGGCACTTGGAACAATTACACCGGGGGGTGCTGCAGGATCCGGGCATGGATAATCCATATATTGTGCTGAGTCAACACCAAATGCAGAATCTTGGTGAGTGTTTCGCATTATCGCGTCCACTAATTCTGATAAATGAATAGTCATATTAATGGTTCAGTTTTGTTAATCTTTCTAACGTTATAAGTATGAAAATTTGTAGAGATATTACTGTCCACTTAGTTTAATATTATAGGCCAGGAATGGTATCGTATGATTGCCAAAGGTATCATAGTATATTCTGTGAGGTCCCCAGTGTTTTACTTGTCTATGAGCGATGGTAACAAATTTTTCTTGGATGAAGTAAGCTCGTTTGCCATTTATTAGTACTGGACATGTGTATGTTACATAAATTCAATTCAAAATCACGTTTAATGGTTGAATAAATTAGAATAAATTTCAATATCATGTCCTGTTAATACATAACATATTTTCATCATTTATGTATTTTCATATCCATGAATATTCTAAATGAATACCACAAATAATATAATAATTTATTCAGCAAACATTGTTACAAAAATGGTTCATACAGGGTAACATGTATAGAAGGTGAAGGTGTTAAGCAATGTTTGACGAAATGACCATCGCTCAGCATTATACTGCAACCGAGGAGCTACAGCGCTAATTTTCAGCTCAGTCTAGTTCTTAACTTAGTTTTATTACGTGTACATACTTTACTACATGGTTGGGTTTCATTATATTAATCATTAAATAACTCAACCGACGTCAAAAAATGTTTCAATGGATGGTTAGAATAAGTTTGAATAGGTTAAAAATAATTGCGGTTTTTAACTATTTTCCGAACTGTTTTTCCATTTTTTCCTATCATGTAAAATTTATTCGAGTTTTGCGCTTAACATGTTAAGCGGTTCTGTTTATTGACAGAATCACTAAACATGTGTTAATACACATAATAAATACATGTTTAGGATTTTGTTTATTAACAGAATCGCTAAACATGTGTTAATTATAAAAATTAAATTTATATATTTATAATTTTGAACAGAGATGGTAACAACAATGTGACCTGAGGCAGGGCGCGGTCTGGCTCCTTGGAACGAAGGTTGGCCGCCCCACGACTCCGCCCCACGATGTGCCAACAACATGTGGACCTTAGTGCTAGTATCAATTGTGCTTATGGCGTGACCAGTTGACTGGCATACCAATAGTGACGTTTCAACGAAATAGATACAAGTGCAAAATATGGTTGTTGATTATGAAATGTTTTGATTATATTTATTATTAAAATATATTTATTTGTTGTGAATTGCTTGTGTGATTTGATTTAAAATGCAAGTTTTCACTTGAATGTTTATATTTTGTAATTGAATTTGTAAGAATCAAAGGTACTAGATAAATTGCAATCGACTTTAATATAATTAGAATTTTGATAGGAATATTTACTAGACGTTATTCAAAACTCAGGTATTATCATCAATGTTGACATCACACATTGATTATGCAATCTTCACATAGACTACCAAAAAAATTTAATGTATTTGCTACTAAAATAGAGTTTTGTAAAAAAAAAAAAAAAACTATGCTCGTGCTATATGTTGCCACGAAATAACAGATTTAGAATAATTTATAAAGTGACCAGAATGTAAAATTCATTTTATATAAAATACTTCGATACTTTATATTTACTGTGTGGTCCCGGCATAGAATAAGCTACCCTTTCCCGTGAGTATCGTTATAGCCGACTAAAGGAAGGCGAGCACCCTTAGGCACACCTAAAGGCAGCGTCACACTTAAAAGATCTCTAAAGTCTAACTACGGTTACCAATTCACTTGCTGCAATGTTAACCTCCCCCCTCGCCCTCCAAGATGATGGCTTATGTTCAGCAGCGGTCATGTAAAGGCTTATATAATGTTACTTAATTATTTCTGAACTTATACCACTAAATACTAGTGACTTAAGTAAATATAATATTGTTTTCAGATAATAACTGTAATGAGTTCCAGTTATTTTTCAAAAATAGAACATTATCATGAAAACAGATCAATTTCATTATATATTTTGACGAGTATTTCATTTCTCTGAATTGCAAGTCGCGCCGCCTGACAGCCGTAAGGAGCTTGGTAGACCTCATTGTTAAATATCCTTTGTATACGAAGTAAAATCTCCGAGCATGGAGTGCCTGCTGAATTAAGTAGCAAACATGTATTGTCATTTCCCCAGACCAGTTCATTGATATTTTTGATCTATTTGTATTAAAGAAGACATATTTTCGTACTGGAATTCAATATGTCAGGATATCGTACTATTTTATCGTACCGATATAATAGGAGGCAAAATTATTGTATATATGGCCAATTGTATAGAGCCGTTTCCAAATTTCTGAGCACGTTCCTGATATTATCGCATTAAATAATAGCGTCTCCTTATAATTTTGTACATTTTGCTCTCCCATTGTATCGTCACGGTAAAATTATACGATATCATGTCTTACAGCAAATTATTTTTATTATTATTCTATCAGCCGTTAACTGTCCACTGCTGAACATAGGTTTTTTCTTAGGAAGTTTTGCCAGTAGTTGTCTTCCTTGATAGGCGGGTTAATGGATAAAAAATGGATTGGTAACCCCGCCGCTATCGGTATACACCGGCGGGACACCAGTGGAAGATGATAGGTGAGAATGAATGCAGGTCAGTTGGTCCACCATGTTGAATTCGACAAGAATTAACCATAATAGTTTCCAGGGAAACCGCATCAAGGTCGAACTGACCCCGTATTGCTAGCAATAGGGTTATTATACTTCATTAGTAACAATTCCTTTCTACCATGATGGGAGATTTAGCAATCATAGCTTTGGTGATATTTTAAGAGGGACACTACTGTCTATCCCTCAACCATTTATCTCTTTTATTCGCTTCCGGGAATGGAAAGAGTATTCTTCTATGCCGAGACGATACGGCAAATTATAAAAGCATCAAATAAAATCAATTGCCATATTATCTAGGGCCTCAGATTTGATTACTATTTCAGATGCCAATAACTAACTTAAACCCGATTTTCGTGCCATGTTACTTGCGGAATACAAATAACAATTTTATAAACAACAGCGTAAACTTCAATGTCCAGGTTTTGTTCGAGTTACTTGCCGTTAACTCTATCTATAACCTTTTTTTTTTGGCTTCAGTGAAAATATTTATATTTATATTCGATATTGTTCATAGTAACCTGCAAAAACTAGAAATATTGTTGTATGTATATTTAACTGTAAAATAATTTTATACGATAAATCTATTCTAATCAAGACCAATGTGTATTTCGTTTCTGTTCTAGAAATATTGCATAATTTTGAAGTATAGTTGCTTGACAGAACTTCGTTATTTTAAATATATATTTTATAACAAGGATGGTAATTGAATATACTGCAAATTCGATAATAAGTGAATACTAAATACTTAGATTATATACATAGAGTATCTCCATACAAATGCTTCGAGAAAAACGGGTCAACTTTTTCATACAATTTTGCGTGATAAACCGTTATGAGTGATTCCTTTATAACTTCTATATTTATTATGTCTTATAATTTCTGCATCTTTTTGATGCATAAATATTCATTTTATTTATAAAATAATACGGTAAGATACATTTTATGTGTAAGTATATAGAATAATGATAAAAAAAACGACTCAGCTAATTTCATAATTAGCTGACAGAAAGTTAACCCATTTTTGAGACTCGATATTCTATTTATGTAATCTAATACTAAAATATATGAATGCTTGCAACACCAAAGGCATTACTCGTGTGTTACCAGTCCTTAAGTTATGAAGGTCCTTATTTACCTAGTTTCTAGTAATATATTTAATTAGTGTAACATTTAATTTTTTAAGTAATAATTTCCTACTTTGTACCTTTTTTATTTTGAAATGTAAAAATTGTTATAGAAATAAATTGTTATATACCAGCGTCATATACTTTAAGCTTCACAACAACGTATCTTGCTTTCGAACAACGATTGTCTTGGGTCACTTGAATTTGTTAAATGTATATAAAGTAGATATAAAATCAACTATCCTAGTTTATAACAATGTTAAGTGATAACGCTGTAAATAATTTTGCACGAAGCTAGTCATATCAAGTTACACCAGTACACTTGGACACACGATTGTGTGTGATAAAAATAATTGAGATTCGTCGTTAGTGAAATGTAAACGTACCCCATGTTCCGTGGTTTGTATAAAAAAAAGTGTTATTTACACGGAATAAATTCCGATACCCCCGCCAGACGGTTGTACGTGAAAAAAATTAATTCGATACAGCGATAAATTATTCAAAAGCCTTTTAAGAGATTTCGTGGAAATTTTTTTCATCAATTACAAGTCGTATTCCATTTTTTTTGTTGTTGTTGTTATTGTTTATGTACAAATGGAAGCTGTTGTTATTGTTTATGTATAGAATACCGCACGAAGGCCTGAACACAATTAAAAACAACAAAAAAATAAAACTTTGTAAATGTAAAACCTACAATGTATCAAACTGTTCCGTTGTAAAAATAAAGATTAAATATATTGTGATTGTTTCATTTTGTATTCGTCATCGCTATTAGATTACTACAATGAATTGTTGTAGCTTCTTTTAAAATATTTTAATTGATCATGTACTTTTGATTGATTCCTTCATGACTTTACACTGCTCCATCTAGCGACAGGTTATCTTACTCGTAACCTAGGCTTATTAATATATATGTATGTATATATATTATTATTCGAGGAAAAAGAAGAAAAAGAGATCATGCTATGCCCATCGTCAATGAGAAGATCACATGACGAGTTTCTGTCACCCGGAGGTAGTTTCCCCCGTAGTTGAGGCTGGGGCAAAGGGGTCTACCCTGAAGCCCCCACCTAACCCTCTAGTAAATTTCAAATGACCCACATTGATTGATTGCTTGTTAATCTATGGTTTTCCTTCCAGAATTTGTCTATTTCAGCGATTATCGGTTTTGGCCACTAAGACATATAGTGAGAAATAGCATGTTTAGAGAAAAATGTGAATAAAAAAAATTATGTAATATATATATATATATATATATATATATATATATATATATATATATATATATATATATATATATATATATATATATATTAAAAAGAGAATGTTGCAATAGTTCAGTCACGTAGAAAAGAAAAGAATAAAATAGATATAGAAAAGGAGCGAGTAGGGCGATATCTGTAAAAGCGGACCTGCGTCCATCAAATAGTTGACGTGTTGAAAAAGGGCCGAGTCAGAAGTACTCTTTACCGACGAGTATTTATCAATAGATTGATGAATGAAGGCGAAAGAGATCTGTTCGATTCGAAGCATTTAACGTTCAATTGTTTCTACCTACGCAGTTTAGGTCGACCCCCCACTAGACGGAGTTACGACCTGGAATGCATTGCGGGGAGTCAGTGGATGCGGGTGGCTCAGGACCGTTCTTTATGGCAGTCTATGGGGGTGGCTTATGTCCAGCAGTGGATGGATTATGGCTGAAATGCTGGTGATGTCTCTGCCTATCGCAGAAGGTGGCAGGCATGACATATTATGTTATCCATAGCAACATTGAAGTATAAACGTAATTAATCTGGATACTGCTATGCATTGAGAACAGGGCGGTGCTAATGTAACGCATAAAATTACAATAAAGCAGAGTTATCTTCGGGTAATGGCGTGAAGTATTTATGGGAGTTGGACTATAAATTCAAAAGGAACAGGTATTCATGATCGCCTTTTATAGCCGGCACAACGACGTGTGAAATATTTTTAATTTATTCGTTGATGTAGGTCGTTTTTTATACGAAATATATGAAATTAAATTATAATTAATTTTTTTACAAATATTTGTCGACAACTATGCTTTTTTGATAATATAATAAAATAAAACACACTAGACTTTATTACATTCATTTACATCTTTTCGATGCAATGGTGAAAAATGCATTCGATTTAGTGTAATAGTTTTAATACCAGAATAATTACAGACAGACAGACAAAGACAAAAAAAAATGCAAATGAAATTTAAATAATGAAATCCAAAATAATTATGCGTTTTCATGATTCCTTTTTTTTATAAATATTTTCAAATCTATATAGAGATAATAATATAGCGGTACGCTACTACAAAAGTACAGTTCTTTACCTTTGTAGGCAGATGCCTGTCAATCAGACCGCTCGAGCCGAATCCAAAATGTTAAACAGCCATTTGTTTCGCACAAGTAACTGCTGTCTCTTACCGAATAGCTTGGATGGCTTAGTATACGGGTCGACTGTACGGCCCCTGACTTTGCAGAAATCCTTTATTAGTACCCACGAGTCACGAGTAGGGTCGTGGAATTATTCAGTTTGCCGTGTAGGGTTTTAAAAAGAAATTCAGAAGGTATACATCAATTTCGTATTGAATTTCTTACTTTAATTCGGTTTTATGTCAAATCAATTTGCGATTTCAGCCATGTGGTCCCGTCATAGAATCGACTACTCCTTTTTTTGGTGTCGTTAGAGGCAAGTAAAAGTAAAACGGTAAAATAATGAAAAATGTATTTTTAAAATCAACTCAGAACAGACAAGGAACAAACATGTTTAAACGAATTGAAATTCTTCTCCTTTAAGAAGTCATTTAAAAACTAAAACATGCTAAAACCTACCAGAGGAAGACTTTGTACAAAAGTCGACTGCTTGGGTACCTCTATCCCATTCGTGTTTCAACCGTAAAGCAGTTGTATTTGCATGGCTGTGTTTCGGTTTGAAGGGTGGGATATGGCGTGAATTTACTGGGTACGGAGGAATAACATCTGAGTCCTCAGGAATGGCAACGCATGGGGGGTATCATGGGCGAAACAGTATACTCTGTTATATCCATGATACTGCTCATATCTATAGGTGACGGTTACCACTTTCCATCAGGTGGGCCGTCAGCTTTTTTGGCATTCTAAGTTGTATAAAAAAGAAAAAAAAAGCCGCAGTCGCTATCTGTCCATCTCTGTGTATGCTTAAATCTTTACATCTCATCATCATGCCATCAGAATGATATTTCAGCTTTAAGAACGAGCAAAAAATTCAACTGCTGCTTACGCAAAATATTGTTTTTTTTTGTTTTTAATATAGCACGTCATGACACAACATCGCTCTGAGCGAACACGGAACCGATATGGTCTGTTCAATTAATAACTGGCATATAAACTCCTTGTTGGCTCTTTATACAAAAAAGAAAAAAAAAATGTTTTTACCTGATACTTTTAATTATGACGTTTGTACAAAACAAATATAATAAATACATTCAAGATCAATTTTTGACTTTATTTTTGTTTATTCTCATGCATAATTGTTCAATAATTTTTTTTTAAAGAAAGAAAGAGAATTTTCGAGCAAGAATGAATGCAAATGTCGGTAGGGGCCGCCCTAGACGGACGTATGTCGACCAAATAGGCGACGTGCTGAAGAAGGGCCAAATTAAAAGTACCCGTAACCGGCGAGCGTGTATGAAAAGATTGATGAATGTGGAGCAAGCGAAAGAGGTTTGTTTAAATCGAAGCATTTGGCGTTCCATTGTTTCTGCCTACCCTAATGGGAGACAGGCGTGACAGATATATGTATGTATATAATTTTTTTTTTATTTTTGTTAGTAAGTGTACTTAAAAACTATGTAAATACTTAATCATTAATAATGATCTAGTCCACTCGGCGAACATTTTCACGAGAGGACTATCTAATTTATTAACAAACGTGTTCAGGATACTGTTGCTACTCCCGCGTATTCGACGTAAAAACGAAGCTGTCTTTTTACGCCAGACTGCGTCAAAACTATCTGTGCGAGAGTCGGCAAACAACGCTGAGGCGCTACAGAAGCGCGGGAGACGCAACAGCAACCTGAAATTATTATAAAATTGGATACGTAAGGCATTTTTATGGTCCATGAATAAGATCAAACGAAAAGGTAATTATTTAATTTGAATTTTACAAATTATAAATTTTAGACTCGGATCAGATCTTATGATCTATGTAAATAGGATATATTTTACAATGAACGCCAAATGTCACTAAGTTCCCAACTTGCATCGAGATCGTCAATAATAAACCCAAAAACCAAAATCGCGAATGGAACACGCAACGCCGCATACGTGACTGTTACTTTTCCTTACCTAGTTCTACACGCACTGTCTATATTATTATCTGTTTTATTACTCGTCTCATTTCCTTTTCATCATGTTTTCTGTTTATGATTTCCTCGTTCAGAGCTATCGAAGCTGATTACGTTTTTTTGTACTGTATAACAAAAAAGTAACTTCAGCAAAATGTAGGGCGCAATAAGTTCTTTTGCAACTTATTTTCGTTGTACCTGTTTGGAATTTCTTGATGAGTAATGAAAAGAATCACCGTGTGTACCTGGTATTGAATGGGACACCCCTACCTTTCCCGTGGGTGTCGTAAGAGGTGACTAAGGGAGGGCGAGGGATGGACAGCAGCGTCCCACTTAAAAAATCTCTAAAAGCCTGACTTTTTTTTGTACAACTTAGAATGGCAAACAAGCTGACGGTACCTCATGGAAAGTGAAACCGTCGCGTATAGACATGAGCAGTACTATGGACATAACAGAGTATACTGTTTCGCCCATGATACCCCCCATGTGTTGCCATTCCTGAGAACTCAGATGTTATTCGTCTGTTCCCTGTAAATTCAAGCCATATACTACCCTTCAAACCGAAACACAGCCATGCAAACACAACTGCTTCACGGTTGAAACACGAATGGGACAGAGGTACCGAAGCAATCGACTTTTGTACAAAGTCTCCCTCTGGTATATTTACCTGCATTATACCTTCTTGTAGCATATATTTTATACAATAAATATATTATTACTATATTCATTAATATAATATGGATATCATCTATAAGGTCCAGTTAATAGTGAATTATAGACGTACTCCTGTTTCTCGAATGCTACCTATCGAGTGGTGGCCCCACTGAAAATCAGCGCTGCAGCACCACGCTGCAGCTTACACTGAGTGGGGACCATTTCAGCTGCTACCACAGAATTATTATTTTAATGTTTTCTTTTATACCACTAAGGTGGCAAACAAACACGGCCTACCTGATAGTAAGCGATTACCGTAGCCTATGAACACCTGCAATACCAGAGGTATTAGGCGCGCGTTGCCGTCCCTAAAGAAACCTCTTTACCCCCTTTTGAAGAACCCCATGCTGTAAGTCTTTTATTGTATTTTATTTTATAATTATATTATTGTATTTTAATGTATGAATTGTTATTAATGTAGGTTTTGTAGCTAATTAATAGTTTTATTATTATTATTATAATTAGGTGATATAGAACGAGGCAAAGTTGCAACCAGTATCATAATATTATTTAATGGAATAAGAAAGTAACAAGAAATTATCTCTAAGTGATTCATAGAAATCGCTGCGAAATAAGACGCAAGCCTTAACAGCAAAACAACCAAGACGCTCGGGGCGTCACCTAATTGGATACAGAGATTCTTGGAA